TTTTCTTAATTAAATCTCAGTTTTAGAAAAATAATAAGATATAAATGGTGCTAAAATTTATTGTACATAACGACTTAATGTATCGCTTGACATCACTTAGTTCATATATCTAGATATATTTAGTCCATGTTTCTAAATCAAACTTTACTTTGATGCTTAAAGACTCATACGTATGTTCTAAAATCAATTTAAGGAGAGCAGTGATTAAATAAAATAAAATATTCATTCACAACTTATACTTCACATCAGAAAAACCCGGTAAATGTTAGACAATTGACTACTAATTTTTCAATTCTAATAAGTTAATGTAATAAATCGAAAGTCTGGAGTCAAAATCGACCCTTCTCATTGATTCCAAAATGTCTTTCGAATGTGATTAAAATAGTTATATACGCATTAAAATTAACTTAGGTAGGCATACAAATTATATCTAAAAGTCAAATTCACATCGAACCATTAAATGTACATTACCATACGATCTAACTTGATTTCCTAGAGATATTATGATTTAAGGCCCATAAGATTTATACTCGACCTATTTTATATGGTTTATATTGTATGAGGTAGTTGTCAAGCTAATAACCAACGATAAGGTTGTCTGTAAAACTGCAAAAATCGTGGAATAATCATGCTTCACATCGCAAAAAAATGAGTATAGTTATTTGAACATTCTTTATTAAAAAATTGCATACATTACTATTAGCATTAAAGAGGAGAAAACCTGCAAAAAAGTAGGCTTTTCCACAAATTAAAAACCTTTAAAATGTTATGATTAAATTAATTTAAAATTATTTAATTTGAATTAATTTTTATAACTTTTTTTACCTGCAACGTAAATTACTTGATTTTTAAACCTCGTATTATTTGGGGTCGCTCCCCAAGCGGCAAATTCCCGTGACTATTTTGAATTAATAATGCATATCAAAAGTATTATTGTCGATGGTTTCAAGTCTTATTGTAAAAGAACTGAAATATGTGGATTTGATACCCAGTTCAACGCGATTACAGGATTGAATGGCTCCGGAAAATCAAATATACTCGACGCTATATGCTTCCTACTTGGCATTACTAATTTATCGCACGTACGTTTACCTCTCCCCTTCTACCACATAATCATCAGGTCAGAGCATCTAATCTTCAAGAATTGGTTTATAAATCAGGTCAAGCTGGAATAACTAAGGCTACTGTTAGTATCATTTTCGACAATCTAGACAAGTCGAAATCACCCTATGGGTATGAGCAATTTGATGAACTGACCATCACGCGTCAAGTATGATTTTTGCCTCCACTTCATTTGATAGATTGTCGTTGGTGGTAAAAATAAATATCTTATCAATGGAAACAATGCTACTAACACTCGTGTTCATGATTTGTTCTATTCGATACAGTTGAACGTGAATAATCCACACTTTTTAATCATGCAAGGACGCGTCACTAAGGTCCTAAATATGAAACCTCCAGAAGTATACATTCTTTTTATTATATTTTAGATTCTTTCTTTACTTGAGGAGGCGGCGTGCACTAAATTGTATGAACATAAAAAAGAGGCTGCCTTAAAAACAATTGAAAAAAAGGACAGCAAACTTAGGGAAATTGATAGGGTTTGAGAGTTATCTTAGGATATTTCTAGGTTTTGAGAGAGGATATTAATCCAACTTTAACCAAACTAAGAGAAGAAAGAAGCAGCTATCTAGAATATCAAAAAGTTGTTAGAGAAATAAATCATCTTACCAAATTTATTGTTGCATATGATTATCATTGCCTTGATGAAGCTCGAAAAAGATCTAAAGATGATCAAAAATCTTTAGAAGCTTCTTTACAAGCACAACAATCCGAAATTGAAGAGGTTTCGCATCTTTCTTGCATTATTTTCTTTTAGCTGAAAGAGTCGCGCATCAAAATTGAGGATGAAATTAAAAAGCTTTGCATGGAAAGAGATAAGGTTTGTTTTATTTTTATTCATGTTCATTTAATTTTAAGCTTCTTGGCGATGAGCTTAAGAGTCTTGAAGCAAAGGTTGTGGATTGTCAAAAGACTGATGCTGTATCCAAAGGATGCCATGTTCGGGCGAACGAAGCTTTGAAAACCACTCGTTCCCGCGTTATTTCTTTGGAAAAGCAGGTATCTGATCATCAAAACCAGTTGGAGACAAAGAAATCAGAAGCCCAATGTGCTTTAGATAGTTTTAAATCAGCTCGAAAGGATTCAGAACAGGCTAAAGCGAATTTAGAAAATGCTAAAAAAAGGCTCCAGGTACATTATTGTTATTTATCCTATATATACATATATGATTAAGATAAATATTATTTCATTTTTAGGCTGTTAGCTCTGGCCTTTCTGGAAGTTCAGACGGAGTTTCAGCCAGTCTTGAAGAGCAGGCACGTCGCGCTGATGGTGAAAGATGTGTAGCCCAGACTAATCTCGAGGCTCTCGAAATGCGCCGTTCACACGTTTTGTCTGAGATCAAGAAGCAAGAGGCAGTAGTTGCTAAAATATGGCCATCTTCTGGTCAATTATCTTCAGAAGAAACTAAGCAACGGCAGCTCTCAGAGCGGGTGAACCACATAATGGAGATGATCAAGAAAATAAATTCAAAACTATCAGAGATAGGAGATGAAAAGGATTTGCTGGGCTAGTTTTTATCTTTTTATTCCTATGTGCATTATGACTCCCATTTTAAATCATTCAGTTTTCGATTTCACTGCATTACTTGCGTATATATGTTCGAAATTTTTAATGCCTTTTTCACACTTAACACTTGGGCCTCTTATCAATACATCACTATCTTATTAAAATTTATCTGCAAAGTTATTCTTGAATGGCCTACTATGCTTTATTTCTTCATTTATAAACTAAATTTGTGCAGTTACGATTTACGAGTAGGCTCTCCGTCTTGATCATCTCGAATAGATTTTTTGCCACTATTAAGACGCTATTAGCAATTGAATTCCTATTCTCTTCACGTCTCTATGCTATCTTTATTTTTCAATTTTTTTCTTGCCTCCAATATACGTTTTTTTGTCTGCTTCATCTTTACATGCTTTCTGTATTGATCTCATCTTTAAATATGTACACATTTTAGATCGTCATTCTGTATTATCTCGAAATTCTCGTGAAATGCGCAATCGTTTTCAGGATAAATTGCATCAATTTCCTCAGCTTGAATTTCGCTTTAATGATCCTGAGCCAAATTTTGATCGTCGGAGAGTCTACGGTCCTGTAGCCAAACAATTTACACTAAAAGATCCGAAGTTTGCCACAGCAATTGAGGTCACAGCAGGTGGCAAGGCAAGTACTATTCATAGTTATGATAGAGTTCAGTATTATTTTTGCTTAATTTTCCTACTTCCAGTAGATCAACGTTTGTATTTGATTTTTAGTCACGAAGGGTACTAATTTTCCTACTTCTTCCCTTAGAAATAATAATTCGAGGTTTCGATCATTTAACCTGCCATTTATGAAAGTAATTTAGGATCGGTATGTCATTTCAATACTACTTTTAACTGTAAGGCCACTAACTATATTCTACTCAAATAAAGGCGTTAGATATTATTTTGCTTGCCAGTTTTTATTTCATCCATTTTCGTTTCCTTATTTATATTATTTCATCGTTTACTTGTTGAATTTTCAAGTTTTACAAAAGATTTCAGTGTATTCTCATCGCATTATTATATACATTTTACCTTTATCAGGGCCATATCTATTGTGAAATGACTTACTCATAGTATTGCTTTTCTGACTTGTCTTCCAAGTTATATTTATGAGAATTGAGGTTTCCTTGAATTCGATCTTTTTCATTACGATATTTATCTTCGATACTATTATGTATATAATAATGAAGGGCAGCAAGTTTAAGCGAATTGCGTCTGCATGAGTATAGACTGATAAAGTACTACAAGAAACTCGTTAGGGTACCTTAAAGTTTGTTTTAGGTAAGTCTTGTTTGATATACCTTTTTCATATAATTCTTTGAATATTTTCTAGATTTGTTTAAGCATATCTAATTAAATAGTTATTCAATAAACTACACATTTTTAAACGTAAATATTTCTTTAAGGAGCAATTGCCTTTGGATTAATCTTTAAATTGTGCACAATCTTATTTATATTGCATTTAAATCTGCCTGCTATTTTTGTTTTGTTTTCCATGCCTTAGGTTCAGG